CAAGTTCAAGGGCAGCCTGGGCTACTATAGTGAGACCCTGTATCATCTCGCCCTCCTCACAGCAATAGCATTTACTAGCTACTCAAAGTCACACCCAGCCTGGGAGAACACTGTCTGTTTCAGCCATGATGAGGGAGGCACCATGGGCCCATTTTACAGACTAGGGAACTCAAACCCAGCTGAGGGCTCACTTGTGCAGGACTGTACTGCAGTAAACAGGAAAAGCCAGTATCCCATCCAATCTGCTCATGGGGGTGGGGGGTGGGAGTATTCCACAGCCCACCTGGGCTGAAAAGGGCCCAGAAGAAAGAACAGCCTAAGAATGACAGTCCACCACACTTACTGACAAGGCTGCCCTCACCTGAGGGTGTTATTTAACCCTTACAACAACCTGCCAAAGCTGGTACTGAGATGAGCCCATTCAGTGCAGGGGGAGCCTGAGGCCTGCAGCCACTAAACCCCTTGCCCACAGCCATTCAGCCCGCAAGCCGCAGAGCTGACACATACCAGAGCCCACACTGCTGAGCTCCAACCCAGCGGCAAGCACCTGACGTAGGTCACAAGCAGGAGAAAGAGGCAGGCAGATTCCTGGAGGCAAAGGACGTGAGGCCTGGTACAGAAGCCCGGCAGACAGGTTGGATGAGACAGATGAGGACAGATGGCGAGTAACTTCTTCCCAGCGGCATCATCACTGGGGGGCCTCAGAGCCAGGTCCTGATCCAGCAAGCCTGGTGCCCAGAGTCTATCTATGGCCTGAGAACCCAATGCCCAGGGAAGAGGGGGCGGCTTCCTGCTCAGCCTTCCACATCCAGCACAGGAAATGATCACTGTGCCCTGGCGGAATAGCACAAAGCCAAGAAAAGGATGGAGAAAGACGAATCTGTGGGGTCTCCCGGGGACAGAAGGTACGGAACAGGAAAGCATGCTACCATCTGTAAAACAGGGACTTTGGAACATGGACAGCCTCAGATAAATGTGCACACACAGAACCCCAGAACTAAGGAGCTGTGCCTGGAGAGGAGAGCTGGGGGGCCAGCACTGGTAGGAGGGTGAGGGATGACCTTTTTTTTTAATCTCTCACATTTGAATTTGTCCTGTGAGCATGTAGCACTGAGAAAAAACACAGGCTGATTCAGAGAAAGTGGCTTTTTCCTTGGAGCCTTCTCAGGCCAGAACTAATCAAATCCCACCCTTCTCTCCCCCCTCCCCATGCTGGACTGGATCCCAAGATCATAGCTGATCCTCAGGGCCCTGGCACACAGTAGGCCCCGAGGAACTTGAGTGGGGAACAATGCGAGAAACAAAGGCACTCTCTGCTTCCCCTGCCAACAGCCACCCCTAACCCACAACACATATACTTCAAGTACAAAACTAATTGTCACCAAACTAGAAATGCCTTAGGAAGCTCTGTCTCCATGGGGGAACTTGCATGTCACCGAGACACAAAGGCTTCAGTCACCCGGGACACAAATTGAATGGGGGTGCAGCAGGCAGGGGAGAATGCTAGGGAAGGATCCAAGGGGACCCCTAGGGACCACTCAACCAACCGCTTCCCCTGCAGCTCTGGTGTGGCTCACCCCTATGCCACCGCTGAGAAGTGAGCTCAGGCAAGAGAGGGGACAAAACCCCAGAGGGAAAAGTGGGGACAACGCATTCTGCTGGGGGAAGAGAGGACAGTTTGCAGGGCAGATGCTCCCGTTTCTCCTAAGAGTGAGGGTGCCTGGTAGGGGAAGGAGGCACCCAAAGGGCCAGGACAAGATAAGCAACACTTACCCTTAGGCAAGGCCCTCACCCTACAAGGTGGGAGAGGGGAATGGTAGCCCTCTGCTCCTTCCCAGCCCAGGCGGGGAAGGAATGCCATGTTTTCCTGTTTCCAATTAGCTCCCCCCAACAGCAGCCCTCCGCATTCTTGAGACAGAGAGTCAAGGCAGCTTGGGGAGTAGGGTGTGGGGAAGGCTGGCAGCTGGTCCTGAGGCTGAGGACCCCACAGACAAACCCCAAGACCTCTACTCTCTACCATGGGCCCCAAGGCCTGCCACTGCCTTCCCCTCTCCTGTATCCTCAGAGGAGCTCACATCCCAAGACTGGGGGGAGGCGGGGGAAGGCCCTGGAGGACTCTGGGAAGAAAGTCAGCAGACAGAGGCCTTAGGCTTTTCCCACCTTCCCCAAAGATTAGTTCCTCCTTTTTGAAAGCCCTAAACCTCCCCAGCCACACCTCCTGCCCCACCCCAAGGGTTATGTATTTCATGCCTGTCGGAGTCACAGAGGAGCAGGGGCCCCTGAAGCCCCTGGGATCAGGGCCCAGGAGGCAACACCTCCCAGGCTCTGTTGACAGATATGGAGTCCCCTCCCCCAGCCCCCACAGCTGGCCAGAGTCTCAGCTAGTCCAGGATGCCTCAGTGTGCCAAGGTGAACCATGGCCTTGCCTGTGTCTTCCTGCCCTCTCCCTCCAGCCTAGAGCTTGAATGGAGGTGCTGCCTCCCCACCACAGGAGTCCTGGGGCAGAGGTTTCACACCTTACTCACATTAGCACCCCACAATCCTCCCCTACATCGATGTCCCACCTGCTGAACATCTGGATAATGCTTTAGTCCACCTTGAGATCAGTTAAAGCAACTCTAATACCCCATGGGCAGATGAGAAAACCTCACCAGTCAGGGGAATGACCTGTCTAAGGTCACAAGGAAGGCAGCAGAACTAAAACCACACTCTCTGCCAGCAGCATCAGGGCACCACCATGGGTCAAAGACCAGGGGGTCAATGACCACAAGGACAACAGTGCCAGTCAGTTTGGCTTCCTCTCAGGAGAGCTGGGTGGCAGCAAGCAGGCCAGGATTTCGTGGGTAGAGAACAGGGAAGAGGCCAGTGGGGTGGACACCCAAGCCCCCACCCTGCCAGACTGGGGCCCTCCACTCTGACTCAGGCCTCCAACTCAGGTCTTGCAGGCAAAAGGCTCTGCTCCAAGCCCAGGTACAATGATCCAGCCCTCTGCCACTTCCTGGTGCTCTATGGCCCTTCCCCAAAGCAGCAACCAGATGCAAACATCTGACAGCTCTTCCATGTAGTATTTACACTCTACATCTAGGCCTGCTGAAGTCAAAGAAACAAAGTGCCACAAGTGAGGGACCAAGAGCCTCCCAGCTCTGAGCTCAGTTGGAGAAATTCTAGGTGGTCCTATCCTGAGTTGAGGCCTGGTCTGACCTGGAGTTGTGTGTCCCTAAAGAAGCCCTTACCTTCTCTGGGCTTTGATGAACAAGCCTGGAAAATGGGAACAATAAGTGTCCCTCATTTTCTCCTTGAATGGTGGCCAGGGCACAAGACACTTAGCAGGGGCTAATCCACAGTGATCAATGGCTAGGGAGACACTGTTATTTCCAGCTGTGGGGTGGAGGGGTGTCTGGAGAAGGCAGTAGTGGTAAACACCCCCATAAGTTCCCCAGGGAATGCTAGAGGGTGGTCCCTGAGCTGTGCACCTCCCCGGGTTTCCCATGGCAGGGTTCAGAGTTGAGGAAGCAACCATTCCCAGTCCCAACCCAGGTGAGGTGTGAGGAGAAGGTGAAAGCAGAGAGCTGATCCTAAATCTCAGGCCGTAGGGGTAACTCCAGTTTCCTTAACTGCCCTCAGAAAGAGAGAGCAAGAGAAATACAACCGCTGGTCCATCCCCACATTTCTATTACATTAAGGGGGAGGTGACAAAAGAGAATGAGAGTCTGGTCTCAGGTCTAGGCACCTACTCAGCCCACAAGCTGGGGCCACTACAGGGCTGGGACCTGTCATCCTGGCCTTCTCTGGAGCGCTGACCCGGAGGCCTCTGACCCCACCTCCCTGGAGGTTCAGCTGCTCAGAACCACAAAGCAAAACAAAGAAGCGCGGAGAGGAAGGAGTCTCGGTGCCTTCCAATCCCTGCCACCCGTCTCCCGGCGCCGAGCCGGGCCAGATCCTTCCCGCAGGTCCTCGCCGGGCTGGGCTGGCACGGACCCAGGCCTGGGCAGCACCGGTCCCAGGTCTCCGGCGTGTGACAGGAGCCGGGTGGCAGCAGCTGGGGACAGAACGCCAGGTGGCCGCCTCCCTCTACCCTGCCCGCGTCCCTCCCTCCGGTAGTGCCCTCGGCGGACCGGGCGGGCCGGGCCGAGCTCACCCCGGGGAACGCTGCCTTTGTCTAAAGGTCACCACCGAGCGGGCGAGCGCCGTGCCCGGGCCTGGCGTCCCCGTCCCCGGGCGGCAGTGACAGTAGCGAGGCCCCCCGGGACTAGCCCCTTCGGGACGCACCGGCCGGGGGCGCGGCGGGGGTCACCTACTGCCATGGCCGGGGCCGAGGCCAGGTCGACTCCTTTCATTGTTTAGGGGCGGCGGGGAGGGGACCCACCGGCCTCCTTCCCCATTCGCCCTCCCCAGGTGGTCGAGGCCCCGTTTCTCCCCGGTACCCCAGGGGGAATCTGGGGAAGGGGCGCAGGGAACGGCGAGCAAGCGAGCGCAGCGAAGGACCGCTCGCCGCCCGGGCCCGAGTCCCCGCGTCCGCGGCCCAGGGCCTCCCTCTCCCGAAAGGCGGGAGCGGCGCGGGGAGGGGGCTGGGGGGGCCGGCGCGCCCCTCCCCCCGCGGACGCTGGTCCCGCTCCCCGCCGCTCCATTGTATCCCGCGGCCGGCGCGAGGACCGGGGAGGCTCCGGGTGTGGGCAGGGCACGGGGGGGTCCCCCGCTGGACCGGGGCGGCGGCGGCGGCGGCGGGAGGGATCTGGGGTGGGGGTGCCGGTGGCTGTGGAGGCCGAGTAAAAAAGAGGGAGCGAGGGAGCGAGCGAGGGAGCAGCGGGCGCTCGCCCCGGTTGGGGGGCTGGCGTGTGTGTCGGGGGGGTGGGTTCGGCCCCGGCTCCGGCTCCCCACACACACACCCGCACCGCCAACCCCCACTCCCCCCTCGCTTTTGCGCCCTGTCACAGCCCCGACTCGCAGGTAGAGAGAGTTAAGAGATTTAAAGAGAAATTGCTACATTGTGAGAAACTCACCCTGATGTTTGAGCAGCCGTCGGCGCGGGGTCTCCGGGACGGCCCCGCACGGGCTGCACAGGGAGGACCCAGAAGGGGCCGGCCGGCCGGGCCGGTCAGCGCACTGCCTGATCGCATGGCGGCCGCTCGGCTGCGCGCCGGGCCCCGCCGCCGCCCCGCGCCGCGGCCCGCGCGCCCCGGGCCCGCGCCCGCTCCGGGGAGCGCCCCTCGGGTGTGCAAAAAAAATTTTTTTAATTAAATGCAAAAGAAAAAAAAAACCTTTCAGGTTTTGTGTCCCGCCCCCCCTCCTCTTCCTCCTCCTCCTCTTCCTCCTCCTCCTCCTCCCTCCGCCCTCGCCGGGGGATGGGCTTGCCGGAGGCCCCGCCCTGCACCTCTATGAGCCAATCCTATCCCGGCGGGGCCGAGCGGCGGGCCCGGAAACCAATGGGAGGCAGAGAATGCCTGGGAGGGCGCCCTGCATGCCGCCCCTCCCCCAGCCTAGGCTCGGGGGTTTGGGGGTGCGCCTGGCCAGGCTCCGGAGCAGTGTGTCGGTGGCTTCGAGCTGGGCTTCGAATTGTGATGGTAGGGAGGCTACGGGGGTTCGCATTTCCGGATCCTCGCGCTGGACCTGAGTGGGGAAGGGGCTCGGTGTGCCCTGGGCGCGCCCCCGAAGCTGGGAAACGCGGCCTGGAGAGGGGACGCGTCCAAGGGCATCGCCGAAGGTTGGAAGAGAGAGCTGGGGTCCAGAATGGCGAAGGAGAGGAGGCCCCACTAGGAGGGACCGCCAAAGAACACGGAGTCGGCGCCAATAAGAGTGCGAGGCCACGGAGACTTAAGGGGCGACAGGCCGGGCGCTTAGGCGTGGCCTGGGCACTCACCGAATCTGTCCTCGCCGATTGCGGCGGCGCCGAGGACGCTGGTCGGCCAGGCCTGGCAGCCTCCGGGAGGCCGCTCTCGGGTCGCGCCGTGGGATTCCCGGAAGCCCTGGGACGCCGCGGCTGTGGAGGCTCCGCTTCCGCCCCGCCCGGCCGGGACGCCGCGCCCGCGGGACACCTGGCTTCCCGCGTCCGCGCGCAGGACGCCTGGGGAGCGCCCACTGGGTGCGGAGACCTAGGGCGCCCTGGAGAAGGCTGTGTACACAGTAGGTGCCCAGTACTCGTGAGTTGAATAAATGAGCGATCGAGACCCTTGTGTGTTTTAAAAAGTCTTGGCAGTTATCCTAGTCTTCTAGTGATGTTATATGTAATGTTTTTAAAATGATTTTGGGGGGGGGGTCTTTTTCGTTTTTATCGGTACCAGGGATCGAACTCACGACTGCCTATTGCAAGGCAGGCGCTTATGCCGCTGAGCTAAATCCCCAGACCTAAAATGATTTTTTATGAGAATGTAATTGTGAGAGATTCCAGGTTAATGGCCCTCACTCAGAATCAGTTACCTCCTGGGTCACTTCTTGTTTCCCCTTTTTTTTTTTTTTTTTTGCTGTGTGATGTTGAGTAAGTGACTTCGTCTCCCTGTGTCTTCATTTCCTGTCATCTCTAAAATGCCGGTAGTGCTTGCTTAAGCAGCACGTATTCAGAAAGGCTTATGCAAGGTCATAAGAGATGAGCTACCGAAAACCGCACCAGACAGAAAGCTGTTCACTGATGGTGACTGTCAAATCAAAACTAAATTTCACACTTGAACACATTATGGTTGCCCCCAAAAAAGCAGTAAACCTCAACTTACAAAGTGGTCATCCACGGCCCCCTGAACCTAAGCTGAGCCTTCAGGGAAACGGCAGTGGACACACAGTCCTTATCTTTGTGTGGTCAGGCCAAGGGCTAACACTATTTGAGAGTGAACTGGGTGGTGAGCAGGTTACAAATTAAAGCTAGCCACAGGGGAGTGACCTTAAGTGACCCCTGTATAGAAACCCTGTGTATAATGTAGAAAAATAAAATTGGTTCTGAAAGGGGAAGTATTTTGTCCAAGGCCATGCAGCACTGTGCATAGTCATGCAACCCGGAAGTGTGGACCAATCCTTGGCCCAAGGCTTCACTGTCCACTGGAATGAGACATGATACCACTTTATGGTAGTTGTCAGCTCTGCAGGACTCAGATGTTGGGGACAGACGGGCTCAGAGTTAGCAAACCTGAAGCACTGGCGCTCACTTTGAGTTTATTCATTTGTAGGAAATTTTTGACTGGTATGTGCCAGTAGTAGCCAAATACTGATGGCAAAGCATTTAGAGACAAAGTACTGAAACTGCAACCCAAAACCCACTTATTAATCGTAAAGTGCCAACACTGAAATTAAATCTGAATCCTGAGGTTTTAGTTTAGAAAAAAGAACATGCAGTGCTCAGCTGCTGGGGCCACTTAGCTTGCATTCACGATGTTCACCACCAGTGGCCTAGGTCCCGCCTCCCATGTAGCTGTCTATTAGGCAGCACAATGGGCAAGTAAGCAAATAACTTACCTAGCCTCAGTTTCCCCCACTAATCATTCCCTACAAGTCCCAGATTTCTTTGGTTGGGTGCATTGTGGTATAGTCCTCACCCTTACATAATGCTTGGAACTGTGTAAGTGTTCAAGAAAATCTCAATGAACAAAGAAAGGATTCCCACCTTCAGCGCCTTAGACACACACTGAATCTCATGGGGACGGATGGCCTTGAGACCAGGCTACTTGCCATCCACCTATCTGGGTGCAGAGGAGCCAAAGCCCAGCTCTGACCTGTGGCCAGGGCTGACCAGGCCCTAGGAGATCAAATGTCCATCTTGTCTGCTCAGCTCTGAACCCTGGCATCCTTGAAAGTCTGGCCAGGCTTCAGAGTTGATGACTTGTGTTGTCAAAGCTGCTCTGGAAGCAATGGGTAAGGTCTGAAGAATGTATGCTCAGAGCCAGCAAAAGTGATTACCAAGGGCCAGTGTGGGCCCTGATGGTGAGACCTGCTGTTCTGCCCTTTGGGGATCACACTTTCCCTGTGAGAATCAGATACAAGTTGTAAGTCCTATGCTAAGATTTAGTTGGAGCCAGGCAAAGTTGCACATTCCTGGGATCCCAGCACTCTGGGAGGCTGAGGCAGGAGAATCACCAAGTTTAAGGTCAGCCTGGGTACACAGTAAGACCATGTCTCAAAAAATGAAAACAAAACATATCTGTGTCACAAGACCAGGTTCAGATTTGTCCCCCAGACAGTAGGAAGTAATCCAGCACACAGGTATTGAGTCATCAGATGACACAGGGACCTGGGCAAGTCCCTTCTCCAACTCCGTCTTCTCATCTGTTCAACAGCAGTGTCAGGCACCGACCCCCAAGCATTTTATTATGAAAATTTTCAAACAGGCAAGAAACAAGAAGAAATACAATGAAGAGCTAAATAATCCACTGCCTGGTTTGACGTCACTACACTATTTGCTTTATTACACCCCTGTGCATCTGCCAAATCTTAGCGTTTGGTGTGTTTCAAAGTGGCAGCTATCAGTGACCTGTCTCCCACCCCTCAACAAAAACCAGGCACTCATAACTTCACTCAGCAGCGATCTCTGCCCTCTGACCGCGCCCTTTCAGGGAGATTTGGGAGAGCCAAGGGCATAGCCCGGGATATCAACTCACAGACACGGACTGAAAACCACAACCGAATCAGGCAGTTGTGAGCCCAACCCGGCCTCGGGTCCTCAGCACCGCAAGTGCGAGGGGCGGAGCTGACCGCCTATTGGCCCAAGGATGGGGCGTGACCACAGCTCCGTCCCGCCCCCAGGCTCCTGCGGGACTAAATAGGCCTTGCTCCCAGCCTGGAAAATTATTCATCAGAGGGGCGGGGTCTGGGTTTGTTTACAAGCTCCTATTGGTTGGATTTGAATCGGGAGGACTACGGGTGGGCCGCGAGGCGGGACTCCGGAGTGAGCGGTGGGGGTGGGGGGAAGGCAGCTGACAGCTTGGGGAAGGCTGGGCCAGGGCCGGACACGTGTGACCCTTGAGGTGGAAGTACACTTGGGGGACACTGGGGAGCTGGGTGAGGCTTTAGCCCATTTCCTGATAAACGTTAATGAAGGGGTGGAGAGTGTGCAGCATTGTTTTTGTTTTTCAAAAACTTCCTAAAGAAGCGGAGCGTGAGAGCGCCTGGCACTCAGAGGCTGAGGCAAGAGAGAATCGCCTTGAGTTCGGGGCCTGCCTAAACGACATAGCCAAACCCTGTCTTTAAAAAAATCGTGAAGAAGGGGCTGGGAATTTAGCTCAGCGGCATAAGCACCTGCCTTGCAAGCAGGCAGTCGTGAGTTCGATCCCTGGTACCGATAAAAACAAAACAGACAAAAAAAAAAAAAAAAGGTGAAGAAAACTCAGAATGGCGGGGGAGGGTAATAACTCAGGACCCAAAGCCTACCTAGCAGGCATGAGATCCCGAGTTTGATTCCCTATACCAAAAAAAAAAAAAAAGGGCGGGGCGGGGGGGGGCTTAGTGGTCTGTTATCCCTGCACTGGGAGGCTGAGGCAGGAGATTGCTGTGAGTTCAAGACTAGCCAGGACTTCAGGATCAGCCTGAACTACACAGTGACCTTGTCTAAAAAAAAGAAAAAGAAAAGCAAGAAAACCCAAAAGGGCTGAAACAACCTAATTGACCATCAATAGGGAACTCAAAATAATCTGTGGCCTAGCTGTAAGGGACAAAAAGCAGCTGTAGAATGAGGAAACCAAACATGAACTGACGCAGAATGTGCTATGTGTCCAGATAAAGAGGGCAGCAAAGAAAGGGCAGTGTCTAAAAAGTTAAAAACGGATGAAAAATGCCAGTTTTTGCTTGTTAAAGGCACCAAATCTCTTCAAACACAGCAGCAGCCACTAACAGCTAACAGCAGTCATTCTTGGGGAGGAAGGCACCAGAAGAGAGCAGATGTCTTCGTAAACTTGAACCTTGTACCAGCTACTTAAATAAATATACCATACACAGTGTAAATGTTTTTGTTCTTCTGGAGACAGGGTCTCACTCACTGTGTAGCTCAGCCTGGCCTTGAATACTACATAGCTCAGGCTGACCCTCCTGCCTCAGCCTCCCAAGTGTGCCCCTACACCATGTAGTACTGAGCCTATTATACTGGTTTTTTTTTTTTTTCCTGTATGGATACATGAAAAGAGTTAACATATGAATCAGGTACAATAAGAGAGTAACAATAGTAACTAATGACAAAATAGAACAATTATTACAACATAGAGTGA